GGGTGTTACAATTCTCCCCTCCTTTTAGAAATTTCGTCCCCGAAATTTACCTGAAAACAAAAATAGATAAGTTTCTCGCATCTTGCTTTCTAATTCCCATGTAGCACTTTCTTCAAAATTTCCTTATTGATGTACAACTCTATCAATCTCTCCAAGAAATGTCTAATGTTAATAAGTTCAAGGTGAGCAAACTTGGTAAGCCTATCCATTAACCAAATAAGATCAAATTTCTTAAGAATATCATACATAACTACAACTAAGTCCATAGATACAAAATCTTATTTCCAAATTAGGACGTATAAAGGTTGTAGTAAATCTGAAAGTTTTTTGGTGTTCTACCTTAGCTTTCTGACATACTAATTAAAAATAATAAGTTAAAAATAATAAATTAAAATAAAAAAAATTAAAAATAATATTTAAAAATAATAATTAAAAATAAGAAATTTCTGACAGAAAATTCCGTCGGAAATTTTCGACGGATTTATATTTCCGTCGGAAATTTTCGACGAAATCCGTCGAAAATTTACATTTTTCTTGTAGTGATAGTGATTGGGCTAGATCTATTAATGACTCTAAGAGCACAATTAGGTATGTTTTTCACTTGGTAGTGGAGTATTTCATGGAACTGTAAGAAGCAAGATATGATTACTTAATCCTCTATTGAGGCTGAATATGTAGCTAAAACAACAAAGTTATATGGACAAGAAAGTCTCGGGAGATTTAAATCATATGCAAATGGAACCTATTGTGTTATGGTGTAATAACATTAACCATTTCAATTGCTAAAAATCCAATTCAACATGGAAGAACCAAGCATATAAATGTCAAATTTCATGCTATAAGGGAAGTTGAGAAGAATGAAGATGTTTAGTTGATGTATTGCAGGTCTTAGGAGTAATTGGTAGACATACTCACTAAGAAAGCTAGGAGTCCTTAAGAAAAGTTTTAAGGAGTGTTAAACTAGTAAAACTTTTCCTTAGTTTTTTACTGTTGTAATTAATTATGGTTGCTTGTATTAGTGGATAAAGTTTTGGTGTAATCTTGTTTGCTTACTTCAATGGGTAATGTCTCGTTAAGTATCTAATTTGGGAAAATCTACACACCTAATGATGATGGGTAAATATGTTTTGTTGACAACATCTGTGGGCATAATGTATGACTGTCATTTTTCATGTATTTATCTTATATATGAATGAAAAACATGCATAATAGTATGGTTATCCAACAAATACGAAATTATCTTTATTCCCTCACATTTCCTCTTTGTTTTATAATTCTATTTTCTATTGCATGTTCTAACAAGTTTAAATGATCATAATAGGAAGATTTAGGCCAATATCAAGCAATCAAGTTGTCAATGCTCCAAACAATACAACTAACAACAAAAGGGTGCATAATAATAGTTATTGGGAATTTGTTTGTTGAGATTTTTTTTTATGAGAGGAACTTTATATCTTGTCCATTAGTTATTTTACACATAATCTTCCATTTAGCAAAATCTGATGCCACTAATAAGCTTTGATGAGTTTGTTATGTAAGTTGTTTGATGGGCATATTTTTTCATAGTAGTATATATAATATGTTGTTTTATATACTAGATATTTATACACAATTCTGCATTGGTATAATATTAATTGTTTATTTAGGACCTAAACCCTTATGAGTTTGATTATGGTCATTAATCAAAAGAACAATGAGTTATTATGTGCTTTTATAAACTTTTATTTTTCCTCTTGTTCTAATAATGTAAGATTTTGTTTGTATCTAAAAAAAAAAACTTTCTAAATTTATCACAGACACCAACCAAACATTTCAACTTCAAGATTAAATTGTAAAGTGGTTGAAATAACAAGAAAAGTAAAAGCAATGGTGAATCCAATACAATAATTAAACAACAAAAATTAAAGACAAAACCAAACTTAAATTTGAAGCTAAGGAATAATCACAGAACATCAAATGATTACATTTGTTCTTCAATTACATTAACCTCCAAGTACAATAATAAAAAATAGTAAATTAAAATTATGATGCAAAGGTGTAATATGGATAGAATGTGGAATTAATGAGTAGAAGATGATGTCAACATTACAAGCTCCTTGGCAACTTGCTCCATGGTAGGACGTGAACGAGGGCTTTTAGTCAAGCAAGCGTTTGCTATCCTCATAATCAAAACTATCTCCTTTGTAATAGGATTAATAGGATAAGGGAGACGTTGGTCTAACTTAACCATCAATGAAGAAATATCAAGGGTCGAATTCATGACATGTGATGAAGATGTTAACAATGAAGTTATAAAATCGCGAGGGTGTTCTCCAAAAAGTATTTCCAATGCTAACACCCCAAAGCTGAACACATCACATTTTTCATTTACTTCCATTGTATTTGCAAGTTCTGCATATAGGAAAAAAAAATCAAAAGGGCTATCATGTATTAAATAACATTCCTGAAATAAACTTGAAATGTTGATAACTATTTTATGCAAATTTTTTTAGTAGAAGGCTGTCAAAGAAGTTATACAAATCATCACATATCCACATATAAAAGAGAAAAAAAAAAGAAAAAAAAAAGAATTAACCTGGAGCTGCATATCCAAATGTTCCAACAAATGAGGTCCAATTGGTTGAATCAGGATTAAAAAGCTTAGCTGTTCCAAAATCCGAGACATGAGCCACGTACTCCAAATCTAGAAGAATATTTTTGCTTGATATATCTCGATGGATAATTGGAGGTGAACAATCATGATGCATATAGCATAAAGCATTTGCTACACCTTTAATGACATTAAGCCTCTTGCTCCAATCAAATCCAATTGCTTGTTCATCATCTTTTAAAATCATATCCACACTTCCCTTTTCTATGAATTGATATACTAAAAATGAGAATGTTGAATGAGAACAAAACCCATATAACTTCACAATGTTACGATGCCGAATATTTGTCAAAGTTTGAATTTCCCTTGTGAAAGCTTTAACATTGGACATTTCTTCATTTTGGACTGAATGGAGTTTCTTCACAGCAACAATTTGACCAGTGTGCAATTCTGCTTTATATACACTTCCTTGTCCTCCAACCCCAATGATATGTTTATTGTCAAACTCTTCTGTGGCTTTAACTATGTTCTCATACACCATTTTTCCATCAAAGCTCCATATTGCAAATAGATTTTGGACTGGTGATTCTTCATCCATGTTTTCTTTTGGCTTTAAAGTTCGACAAAGATGATAAGAGACTACAAAAGCAAATAATGCTAGTATTAAAATGCCCAAACCAATGGGTAAAAATATCAATATGACTTTTTTAGTCTCATGATTATGAGATTTTTCATCTGATATTGCGCATGGCTTCAAACCAGAGACACTACCACACAAGCCTCTATTATTTCTCAATGCTTCAATTGTCACAATATTGAAGGCTTGAATGTTTGGAAGTGAACCTTTCAATTGGTTGTATGATATATCAATTGATATCAAGCTTATCATCGTGTCAAGGCTGGAGAGATCACCTGAAAGATTATTGTGTGAAAGATTCAAATTTTCTAAGCTTTTCAACCCTCCCAGCATTGGTGGTATTGTGCCACTTAGAAAGTTCATGCTAAGATCAAGAGTTTGAAGATAAGTTAATTTACCAAGCTCAGATGGAATTCTTTCCTTGAATTTATTTTGGCTCAAATTCAAGTTTAATAACTTGACCAAATTTCCAAGCTGACTTGGAACTAAGCCAATAAAATTATTGGCTCCTAGCTCCAAAGTTTCAAGATCTTGCAATAATGCTATTTGTACAGGGACCATTCCGGAAAGATTATTGTTGTTGAGAGAGAGATGAAACAAGTTGATCAAATCACCTAATTCTTTTGGAATGCCTCCAGTAAGATGGTTTGAAGATAGTTGAAGTACACGTAAATTAGTTGCTTGACTTAGTTCTGTTGGAATACTGCCTGATAAATTATTGTTGGAGATTTTGAGGCTTGTAAGATTATGGCACTTGCCCCATTTTGAAGAAAGATGGCCATAAAAGTTATTTTCACTTAGCTCAATGTAATCCAAATTTGGATACACACCAAAATAATTTGTTATATTCCCAGTCATTTGGTTTTGTTCAAGCCTAAGTCTTCTAAGGCTGGAACAATTCTTCAAACTCTTTGGTATTGGGCCTGTGAAAAAGTTATTAGCTGCGGAAAAATTCATCAACTTTCCACTAATACAAATGTTGTGAGGCAAATGACCAATAAAATTATTGCCAGATAATTGCACATTTTCCAAGTTGTTAAGTTTGTTCATTTCTATTGGAATGTTTCCATTGAACTTATTGTGACCCAAAGAAAGTGAGGTGAGCTTTGTCAAGTTTCCAATAGTGAAAGGAATTGATCCGGTGAACTTATTGTAGTGCAAAAAAAGGATGGTGAGCTTCGTCAAGTTTCCAATAGTGGAAGGAATTTTTCCGGAGAATTTGTTACTATTAAAGAAAATAGACTCCAAATTGACCAAGTTACCTATCGTAGATGAGATTGGACCAGAGAAATTATTGCCTAACAATTGGATAGTGCGAAGAGAATGAAGTTTTGTCACTTCATTAGGAATGGAACCAGATATATAGTTGCCATAAAGGTAAAAATATAATAAACTGCTCAAGTTTCCAATTGTAGGGGTGAGTGTACCTGAGAAATAGTTATTGGTCATATCAAGAATATACACCTTTGTCAGCTTTCCAATTTCTCGAGGAATAGAACCCGAAAGATCATTGTTTGAAAGCCATAATTCTTGCAAGTTGACTAACTTTCCAATTTCCTTAGGAATGTTGCCAAAGATATTGTTGAATTGAGCATATAGAATCTCAAGATTCCGCAAATTCCCTATTTCTTGAGGAATAGAACCATGAAAGTTATTATGTGCAAGCGAAAAAAACTTTAAGTTTGACAAATTCCCAATTTCACGAGGAATAGAACCTGAGAAAGAGTTACTGGACAAATCAACGTGAAACATATTTGTCATCATTCCAATTTCTCGAGGAATAGAACCATTGAAAACATTTTGTGCCAAGTCTAAAATACGAAGACTGGCCAACTGAATTATTTCGAATGGAATGGTTCCAGAGAGATCATTGTCCCTTAAATCTAGATGAGTGAGTTTGGACAAGACCCCAATTTGGGGAGGGATACTTCCATGCAAGGAGTTATGACTCATATCTAGAGTGAGGATGTTTGGAAGTGATGAAAAGTTGAGAGTTTGAAGCGTACCACTTAGTCCAATATCTGTGAGATTTATGTCGGAGACCGATCCAGAATGGTCACAAGAAACTCCAAGCCAATTGCAAGAAGCACTATTGCCACCCCATGAAGATAGCAAAATTTGACTTTGGTTGTCAAGGCTTGCTTTCCACTTCAACAGAGACTTTGTTTCACTGCGTTGAAGTGTGAGAGAGGCACTGGATGTAGTAGTAGCATGGAGAGAAGTGGTCATTGTGAATGCACAAAACCACATTTCAATTAGAAGCAGCCATATTGGTTTGAGCTTCATGGACTGAAGCTTCGGTAATACGAACACCATTTCTGGTATAGGGTGAATTGTTTCACAAGAATCAATGATTGTCTAATACAACCAAAGACTATAAATAAGTGAAGATGCTTCAATTTTCAGAGATTTGGATGCAGTTCATGGAAATGAAATGTTGCAGATACGTATTTATATGCAAATAGGTCATGGACACGAGTACGAAAGTCAAGAAAAGGAATGCCCATATACGAATGTTCAACAACCATCTTATTAAAAATATGTTTACATTTAAGGGTAACTTTCTTTCAAAAAATAAAATAAAATTTATGAGTGTCACTGTGATATATATTATAATTACTATAAAACCATTTATATATCTGTCCATTAAAAATTATCTTCTGTATAATTTTTATTTATATTTGGAAGTATTCATAATATAATAACATTCCCTAAATTTTTTTGTTTATTATCATATATTGAAGGATACATAAAGCAAGAGCCCTTCAAAATTATATTTGTTAATAATAAACTGCTGCCCTAATATATTATTATTATTATTATTATTATTTACTTTGTTGCGACGCAAGATTCATATATAGGTGGGGGCTTTTTGGACGTTTTGTATATTAATTTATATAATAGATGCATGAAAATTGTCCATAAAAATTATATTTCGTGCAGGTCCACCTAGTAGAGACAATATATCAACAATATCGATTCTATTTTTTCTTTTTCTATTAAATCATACCGACCTATATAATATTTATATTTTTCTATAAGTATTGAATAAGTTGGGTGTTAAAAATGTTGTTTTCTAGTCCACAAAAATAATATAATTAATTAAATCTTTTTATTTTTATTATTTAAGACTTGTGATTAAATCTTAGTTTTTTCGTGATTTATATCTTTTTCATATAAATTTATAGATTGGATAGACTATTTATACTGATATAAACATTTATTTAAAAAAAATGTTTTTTTCTCTGGATATAAGGGGTAATAATCTAATGTCACCTCATCCACCCAAGTAAGTCCTTATTCAATGTACGCGTCTAGGAAAAATTTTCACCGGGTCCTTGTTAATGTAAAACTAGTATTCTATCAGTTTTTATTTTTTTGTTTTTCTATCAAACCCATTGAATATAATTGGACCGTCGTAGGCTCACGTTAACCTATGTAAGAACGACTATTTCTAGAACTTTTCAATTGGCCTTTACGTATTACACGCTTAAGACTAGATGACCAATTGATCCACTTTAAGAGGATCATCTAAATGTCCATTTAACTCAATTAATCTTTGTCTAAAAGCTTATGGACTTAGCCACTATAAATTACAAAATGATAAACTTATCATTAAAATTTAATCAAATTAAAGAAATAATGAACTTCATAAAGATAGGAGATAAATAAAATAAATAAGTGATGATGATAAAATAGATATGATTTAATAGGACAAAAAGATATTACCCGATTATTACATAAAGATTAAGACTAAACTAAGGAAGGATAGGAATTTTTCATCAATAATCATTATTAAAATTCCTAATAAATAATACTGTAGCTCAAGAAATGATTCACGATATGAACCGTATGAAGTCGACCGACATTGTTAAACTGCATGATAGACTGAATTGGCCCTTTATCATCGTGAGGCATGATCAACTTTATCATGGGGAGTGTTCAAACCAATGTCACCTTATACTTTTATGTATCATGTGTACATAGGGTCAAATTATGACACATGACCTTAAACGTGGTCCACAAATTTGTCGACTTATGTTTGCGGATCACGGTCTTCTCTTTGGTGAAGACACTACTTCTCATTTATTGATAGATTTTTCTTTACAGATAAATATTTGTCTGAAAAATGATATTATTAATGAATTTTTTATATATATATATATATGTGTTCATCTGAAATATAAATGATTCCGATGAATATTACTTACAAATTTTTTTTGTATGAAATTTCAGATGGAGTTACTTACGAATTTTTTTCGTAGGAAAATTATGATATTTTAGATAAATATTTCTCACAGATTATTTTTCTAAAACATTGTTCGTAGAAAATGAAAAAAAAAATGTTTGTAACTTTAAAAAATTTAATGATAAAAGATTGATAAATTAAATTCTTAAATATTTAACTAATTTTCTCATGCTAATTAATTTACCACATCAACTATTATATATAAAAAATTTATAATTAAATGATAGTATAAAATAATAATTTACTATCAATATATTTTAATATTATATAGTTAATTTTATTTAAATTGAGAAATATATAATTAGTGAAATGATATTGATGCATGATAGTCTAAAATTAAAAGATAATTTCTTAACATTTATAATAATTTTACCAATTTTGAACTATATTAATTTTAATAAAATAAGATTATTATTTAATACAATTTTAAAATGATCTTTTATAAATATTGTCAACAATACCCACGAAATTACTAACGAACGTATCCGTGGATAATTATTTTTTATTAATAATTTATTTTAAAAATAATAAAATTAATTCATAAGTAATTATGATAAATAAAAATTAAATTAGATAATTACCTAAGGATTTACCCACAGATGTATCTGTGGGTATTTACCGACGGATAAATCCGTGGTAATTACCGACAGACAAATTTGTGGGTTTACCCACAGATAAATTCGTGGGTAATTATTTTTTTATTTATAATTTATGTTAAAAATAATAAAATTAATTTATAAGTAATTATGATAAATAAAAGTTAAATTAGATAATTACCCACATAATTAACTAGAATGGGACGTTCTGCTTGTAGTACGGGCCGTTTTACTTGCTGTATGGTCTGTTCTGCTTGCAGATGTGAGGCTACAGATCCCTCTACCCTCCATCCTATTCTTCCTCTTATTCAAATCAGCCCCATCTTCTTGGTCAACTCTGTGGACATGGTGCTATTACCACCCTTTGCTATTAGCCAACATCCTTTTCTTCTTCAATGTGAATTTCCTCTTCTGCCTCATCGACCTAATCCAATCCAGTCACTTGGTACACTACTTTCCTCTTCCTTTCCCTTCACTCATATATATATTGACATGTAGCTTTTGGTGTTAGTGCAGATGATTGACCCGTGTTGGATAGTGATACCTGTGATGCTTGTTCATTTCTATGCAAGTCACCATTTGGGTGAGTATAACTGGTTGAGGTCTATAGTGGTGATATTGCTGACTTGGGTGTGGAGCATTAGGCTAACCCACAACTACTTCTGGCAAGAAAAGTGGCAGTGGGGTGCCAGGGAGAATTGGCTTTTCACTGATTTGAGTCAACAGTATGTCAAGGAGGATTGGCTTTTTATTGATTGGTAGGCACAATTGTATTTTATAAACACCATTAGGGAGCAATGAACTACATTTTTCATTTTGTAGTTTAGGATGCATAATAATTTGTAAGTTACTTAACTTATTATGTACACATTTATGCATTACATGTATTTTAAAAACATTTTGATTACATATATGGTTGACATTTACCAACTCTGTCATTTGTATATAATTTGGTCCATTGAAAACATGTGAATTGTCTGATATTTTATTAATTTGCAAGTTTTGTCAGAGATCCTCCTAAACAATTTAATTATTTTAAAAAATTAAGAACTTTTAACATCGGTCATGCTATAACCAATCTTAAAAGTTAGACTTTTAACATCGATTATTGCATGGGCGATGTTTAAAGTCTAACTTTTTAAAATCATCTCTTTTAAAATCGATCAAAGAATCGATTTTAAAAGTAAAAAATGACCAATTTTAAAATTATTTTTTCCACTAATAAATCCACAAAAATGATATAATTAATTAAATCTTTTTATTTTTATTATTTAAGACTTGTGATTAAATCTCGTAATTTATATCTTTTCATATAAATTTATATCAAGATAGGATAGACTATTTATAATCTTATTGATCTAAACTGTAACGCCCGATTTATATAATAATAATGATATGTTTTTATATAATAATTTTGCAATTATATCATTAACATTATTATTATTATTTTTTAAATAAAGATAAAGATAAAGAATGTTTTGTAAAATTATTACATGACATATCGTTCTAAAATAGTTAAAATAATTTACTATTTTACACATTATTTATTTCCTCCACTTCTATTACAATAATTACATTCATAGTGAAAAAAATTACAATTGAAATAATAATTGGCAAATAAAATTGTAACAGATACATCAAATAGCCTCCATATTCCAATTTCTCCCAAGTAGGACAACAGTAATAAAAACTGTAAAAAGACCTGGTATGGCCGGTAGATCCATCTATGTTACAATATATTAAAATTTAAAAATAAAGAAAAGAGAGGAGTGAGAACAATATCCAATAAATACAATAATTCAAAAGAATACACAGAATTATTTATAATCAATATTAAACATATATATATATATATATATATATAATGAGTATCATCATAACACCAACCAACAAAAGGATATTTCACCTTAACTAACAATAGGATATTTCACCTTCATTCCTTACTCATTTAAATCCCCAAGGTCAAACCTCCAGCTACAAATAATTCAAATTTTATCTTCTCTGACCATAGAACAATATTTATCTTCATAAATACGTGAAGAAATAATAACAAAACGAGTCCAAAATATCACAACTATATCATAGTTGATTATAAATATATTTACAATAAATATATTTACGTAAAAAGAATATATTAAGAGTACCAATGATATAGATAAATATGACAATCATTATAAAATAATTAAACAATATAAAATATGAACACCTTAATAATTATTATGGATAAAAATAATCATAGGATAAATAAATAAATGAGGTTAGGGACACCCCACTAAATAAATATACATAAAAATAACATAAATAAATAAACATATATAGTAGTATATAAAATTTTAAAGAGATAGAGTTCTCCTCCCCCTTACCCTGGATAAGTAGGAACTAAAACTTGAGCAGAATCTCTCCCTCTTTCTTCCCCTCTCTTTCTCTCTCTCTCTCTCTCTCTCTCTCTCTCTCTCTCTCTCTTTTCTCTCTCTCTCTCTCTAAGATTTCACTTCTCACTCAGTTATAATTTTTTTCTCACCCCCTGCCTCCTATTTATAGGCATCCAGGGGTTCCCAGA